GTGTGTGTGTGTGTGTGTGTGTGTGTGTGTGTGTGTGTGTGTGTGTGTGTGTGCAAAATGCAGAGATAGAATGGCAGCGTTTGGCTTTTATTTGCCTCAAAATATTGAAGGGAATTTGCAATCAATAAATGGAAGTCTGAATAATAAAGCAGAAAAGCAGTTGAATCTCTTCTAAAAAGACTTTATTCTTGTCTCCAATCAGCTCCAGCAGCACACAGTCAGCAGGCCTCGGCGTAAAATGACCTTCATCTTATCTGAATATAAAAACAGAGCAGAGCCCAGACTGTCTCAGGCTGCTCCAAGACAGAGACTGCACACAAGCACTAACAAAAAACTCTTAATCAAATAATGATGATTCAACCTCTTAACATATGTCTCTTCCTGGTTACACCCCTGAAGGTGGGACCTTTTAAGTCAGACGACAACATAACCAACTTTTGTTTCTGCAGACAGAAAGAACACATGATAAGACACCAAGTCATTATCTGTTTTAAACCTTATGGCTGCAATGATCAGAAAGTGTAAAATTACAATACTTGACCTAACATTCAGTCGATCAGTTACACAATTTCCATCAATATATATATATATATATAATTACTTATTGCATTCAGTGCTCACACAGAAGCACAAGTGAAGAGTTTTAAATAAATCCATATAAAAATCACAGATGACCTTTGAACTGTCAGCTGACACCAGTTCAGATCGTCTCATTTCTCCTCAATTTTCAAACAGATTGTAAAGTTTGTTTTAGCTGGATAGTCAGTGTTATTTCATGCACTGTGTGAATGATTGAATGCAGTGAATGAACTAAATGAACATTTGATAAAAATAAACATTAGGTTTGAGTACAACCACAGAGTTTTACTCCAAATCCACCCAAAGCAACAATGCATGTTGGAACAGTGGCTGCTTCACACAGACCTTCAGTTTGCAATCAAACAATCCTGTCCACACAGTCATTAATCAAAGGGATTAAAGCCACTGACTGCAGACAGCCGCTGTTTAAAAAGACGTACAGCCACGGCCCTCAGCCCGTCCCCCTGGTGCTGCTGCACGCCTCATTTATCCTGTTCCCAGAACAAACTCCACCATAAAGCTCAGCCCCACGCAGAGAGAGACATGCACCGACTGTTAACAACACTCGCTGRTAATCAGCTGGAATTAGGGCAGCAGCACAAGCGGCGGCTCTCTGGTTCTGCTGAAAAACTGTGCAGAGGAAACAAAAGGGCTCCGTCTGCAGCAGAAGATACTTTGAGTTGAAGCTTTCCAACCTGTGCAGACATGAGTGAAAAACAGGCAGGTGTTGAAACAGAGTGAAGAGATGATGATGATGATGATGATGATGATGTTTGTTGTAACATCTTTGTCAAGTCTTGGTCCAGTTTGATTATCAAAACAGAAACATTAAAGGATTTTCAGGGTGTCAAAATATGGCACAAAGAGGATAATTAATCATTGTGCCAATGGTTTTAGCTTTACTTCAGAGCACATAAAACAATGTCTCTTTTTAGCCTAAAACTAAAATATTTAAATAATAAAAAAGTAACATGATATTAAAGTAGCTGAACTAGATGTGACGTTTATTCAGAAGCATTTGAACCATAAATAAAACATTAAGTCATCCGGGAGGGACTCAGAGTAGAGCCGCTGCTCCTCCACGTCGAGAGGAGCCAGTTGAGGTGGCTCGGGCATCTGGTAAGGATGCCTCCTGGACGCCTCCCTGGTGAGGTGTTCCGGGCACGTCCCACCGGGAGGAGGCCCCGAGGAAGACCCAGGACACGCTGGAGGGACTATGTCTCTCGGCTGGCCTGGGAACGCCTTGGAGTTCCCCCGGAGGAGCTGGAAGAAGTGGCTGGGGAGAGGGAGGTCTGGGCCTCCCTTCTGAAGCTGCTGCCCCTGCGACCCGACCCCGGATAGGCGGAAGAAAATGGATGGATGGATGGATAAAACATTAACATTAATGAAAACCAGAGGCATAGAAAGGACTTAGAAATGATAACTAATAGAAAACGACTGGTGAAAATGAATTTCAATGATAARAAAAGTAAAACTGCTCGCAATAATCAGGAAAGTAAAAGTACTTTTACACACTCTCTAAGAAATGAATTGTTGAATTTACTGAAMCTAATTATGTCAGCTGGTTCCACTAAGCTGAGCTGAGTTAAACGTAAAGAAAATTATTCAACTCAGTTTAGTGGAACTGTTGTTCACTCACAATGAGTTTCATCATATTTAAATTTGTAAAGTATATTGAAGTGTTAAATTGTAAAGAAATAAATTTTTTTATGTTCTGAATGTAATGAAATAAAAGTAAAAGTTATGATTGAAAAAAAACTTAAACACATAAAATTTCAGATCCTGAAAAAAAAGTCTAATTTAAACTGTAACAAAAGTAAACATTTTCATTAGTATCCACCGCTGATGAAAAATGCTGATTTATATCTATTAAGGGCAACAAATCACAGACAATCTAATTTTTTTTTATAAATTTTCGATATTTCAGCAAAATATCTAGAGGAGAAATTCAAGGTAGCCGAAATATTACCATCTGAGCATGACGGCTACAAAAACAGACCGGACTTCAGTCAACATGGTAAATTGGTCAAAACCCAAAAATTTAAAACAAATATTTTATTCTTTCAAACACATTGTCCAGTCATTTATCTGAGTGGCAGCAAAAACAATCACAACTTATCAAAGAAGAGCTTCCATGCTTAGTTTACTGAATGAACTTAACCATTTCACATGAAAAGCAACAGTATTACTGCCTATCAGTTTATCAAGCAGCTCTGAATTACTGGTCCATCACAGTACAGGTCAATACTGGAAATTACCCTAACATGCATTTATTTGAACAGAGAGAGAAAATCCACAGAACATGTTGAGAACATGCAAAGTCTGCACAAAACGGCTCCCATTGAGAGTCTCTCTCGACTTTATGAGCTGCTGAYGTCAAATTCTCTGTTTGTTTAAAAGGAGGTGAAGCAGAGGATGTAGCTCCACATTCCTTGCAGTGAAAGGGCTCTGTTGTAAACACAGGGTGCAGGTCTGTGTGATGTGCGTGAAGGGGCACAGCCTGCCCAGTCTGAGGCTGGTTTACAGGTTGACCAGCGGGCCGACGGGACATCCAGGTGCAACATTCACACCTCGGCTGCAGGACGGCTCTGCTGGGGAAGGAAGGCCAAAGGTCACCCACAGGCCCAGCTCTCAGACACTAGCAGCCTTTATATTCCTGCAGAGCTCGGCGTCCACATCTGCACACCTACGCACAGGTGTGTGCACRCATCAATGTGTCTGTTACACTTTGTTTATTTTTGCTCTTCCTTCAAAGCTTCCAAACAGAGATTTGCTCCGGTGGAATCCAGTCATTAAACACCAGCTTCTTCACATTTAACCGAACGTTAGGTGGAAACCCCTGAAACGAAACGACCTCATATCTAACGACGTGTGCAACATGATGGTTCTGATGTAAAACACTGACGTGTGCGGTGTCTGAAGCTTCGATGACAAAGTGATGGATGATTTTGGTAGGCTCGGCCTTCAGCACATATCTGCCACTGACGTCGCAAAGGAGTAAAACCAGAACGTGTGTCTGGAAAACAACTAATTCACAACCATGTCCTGATGCATCTCAGTAATCCAGGTAAAAAAAAATCAAAAAGAAAAAAATTCTATAGGTCTTCTGGACGGGTTCTTCTCTAATGAAACGTTTCGTCTCTTCTCCAAGAGACTTCTTCAGTCTGAGAGTTTCAGGCAAAATTCAGGCTTTTAAGCACTGCCTCCATGTGACTGATACTCACTGATACTGATACTTTTTGTTTTTAATTCACAATCAGTTCACAAAAATCTGATTATTTTACATGATTTCTTGTCTTTTTTAAAGGTTTAGAAAAAATGCATACTTGCATAAGAAATTTATATCAAATGCTAAACATGTTTTGGTGTTTCTAATAAAAGTCTTAATTATGAGTTTAACGTAATGAAATTTTGTTTTTACATTAAAATATAAAATTATATGGTGATTAATACATAGTGACTACATTTAACCACTGCTTAAGACACATTTATTTCCTTTTGTTTAAGTTGGTATTAGAGGTTTTAATTAAACTATTTATCAACACAGATCAGAGACGTCACAACCAGAACAGAATCAGCTTCTTCAACTTTAGAAAAATCTGTAAAACTTCTAAGGTTTGTTTACAAAACTGTACAGATCAATTTAAAATTAAGTGAAAACTAAGACTTCAGAACARTTTCATAGATCAGGGTAACATCATGGTAAGAGAAAACAAAATATAATATATTAAAGCTGAAATCCTTCAAAATTGGTTATTGAAGCTTATAGAATTTAAAGAACAAAACAATGACAAATTAGTGCTTCCAAATTCCACAATTTTATTGTTGTGAGTAACTCAAACTTATTTTATCATCCAAAAGTTTATGTTGACATTAAAAAAAGATAACCAATTTTTTTAAGTAAACAGCTTAAAACATATCAATGTAACTTGTCTCCATTCAGAGCAATAGTGATAAAATAATTTAAAACATTCCAAAATAACAAATCCTAATCCATTCACCATGTGCTTTCTGAGTTAACATTCATTAAAATGAGCAACTAATTCTGTTTTGAACAGAAAAATGTACTCACCAGATTTTACCTGTAGGGTTTTTTGTTTTTCCAAAGATGCCCGTGCGGTGGTTTCTCCTCACCTCCACAGGCACACATGACTCACAGCCAGATGTTCATCCACCTCAGATCAGCGACACGTGAATCTCACAGCAGCTCAAACAAACTGAGCTGAACACGCCTGCACGTTTCTGGTGTCGACTTACACCGGAAACAAAGATGGGACAAGAGCCAAGACGTGAACTTGAAAGAAACATGAGAACCGATGTTTCTCTTTTGTTTCTGAAGAGCCCAAATAAACACACAAGTATTAGAAAAATCACCCARAACACAGAATTTAGTAAAATAATGATGGATTTGAGGCTGATAATCAGCATTGTTTATTGTAAAACGTGTCAAACTCAAGGCCCGCAGGCCAAATGYGGCCCCRTGGGCCTTGACGTRATTAAATGTGTAAATGTGACTTARGCTGCTTAATTTAWTCTGTTTCCRGGGTGTGGTTATGTCCTGACACAGACTCCAAAGCCCAAAATGTGTGGCAAACTCCTCATGCTCCATCATTGATTGACTGTAGAATTGGCCAATCAGCTCTGAGCTTCATTCTGACACTACAGCTGTGCAGCCAATCACGTTACCTTTTCTTCAATGTGCAGCATTTGTGGGGTGTGGACCTCGCAATTGAAAATGAAACGTGGCAGCCATTTTGYCCCCCAAAGTGGTGACAACAGAAAACATAGAAAACATGTTTTTTATGGTATTTTTGGACAGTTAGTTACCTAAACTTGCTTTAAAGAGGAAATATATTTGTCATGCTGCATGTTGAGTGCTTCAAGATGAGGAAAAGTGKGATTTATGGACAGAAAATGTCATCAAAGAAAGACTACCTTCATTCTGGTGCCATTTGCTTTTTGTTATAAGAGGACAAATTGTGCATCAAAGGTAAGTGAAAAACTTTTTTATTCTTCTGCTGGTGGTTTTATAAGCTGATGCCTTGAAAAAGTGAAGATTTCTGGGTTTTTGTAGTGTTTTTTTTTTGTAGTGTTTTGTTTTTGTAGTGTTTTGGCTGTTTGTTGATAGGTATTTGCTGAATGTCCCCCAGCTGTGATTGACATTGCTGAATATCAATTATTTAATCATGCTGTGAGTAAATATGAATGGTAGTGAAGTCTCTGTGTTGAATCATTTAGAAATTACATTATTTGGAAATATTTGTCCAGTTTGGACATTTGCTCAGATGTGGTTAAAGACCTGTCCAAGTCTGATGGACATGCTGGATTATATTATGTCTCTAAAATACAAAATTATGACTGCTGAAGTTAAAATTTCAGATTGATAGCTCTACAGAGTTTTTATATCAGTAGTTTGAATTAAACAAATTTAAAAGGTGAAATATAAAATCTGGTGAAACTAGATAAATGTCGTGCTGGCCTTGAATAAATTAAGCCCCCTGAGTAATTTTCTGCAWTAATGTCTCAAAATAAGCTCCTGTAAAGCCACCATTGTCCATRAACTACATCTCTCATAATACATGTTGATTATGCATGGGAATTCCCTGTCGGAAAGTGGGAAAGTTCAGAATTCAACATGAAAGCTACTTACCACAACTGAACAATGAGTAAAACTCTCTTACGTTTGCTTTTTATCATATTTCTGTATACTTTATTTCACTTTCAATCAGTCATGCACAGGGTACTTTTCAATTTTTAGAAGAGAATGTGTTAAAATGCTGTTTCCATGCAGAAAATACCACATACAGGAAGATGATGATCCACAGTTGGTTGAAGTTAAACACAAACATCAAAGTTAATTACAACTGGCCCTTTAAGAACCAACTTAATGCTCATGTGGCCCTTAGTGAAAATGAGTTTGACACCCCTGTAAAGTACGGTATACATTCATCTATTTTTATAGCTTCTGTTTGTATTTGAACATTTTATTCCCCAAAATGTGATTTTATTGTTAAATTAGGATTTAAAGCATCTTTAGGGCCTCAATCAATCAGCTAAAAACTAAAGCCAACATTGGGACTCCTCGTCCTTGTGTTTGAGGCTCCGTCTCAGGTGTGACTGCTGGTTCATTTGCAGCCTCTCCCCTCGGGGGACGAGTCCCTTGTGTCCCTGCCTCCATCACACACGCCCCCTCTTCCTCTATAAGCCCACCTCCCCACTGACCTCCTCCTCATTTCTCTGGTTAGTATTCATCAGAGCTACACTTATTGTGAATCTTAATGAAGGTGTGTGTTAATGCATCTCTAAGGGATTACATTTCCTGCAATCGTTTTTGAATTTACCCTCACCTCTCTTTGGTTGATTTTAAGGAGGTTTTTAAGACAGAGAGCACATCCAGCATGAATCATATCCTGTTTCTGTTTTAAAGGCTAAATGAGCCTCAGAGTACTGTGAACAWACTGATGGTGTGTCTGAAAGCTCCCACACACATTAATATGTAGAATCAGCATCTGGATCACAGTTTTGATAGTAAACTGACGTCAGAGATCGCATATTGTTTCCTTTAAGTGAAAAGCTGATGCTTTCCTTCTCAGAAAATGACAGCACAACTTCTTCTTTGGCAGTAGAATGCGTCAAACATACTTTTTAAATGATTGTTGTTGCTTTTTTTCTGAAAAAATATCATCATCGGAGTCGTGGAGGACAAGACAATGAGTCACATTTTAGTTTTGTCACATTTCATTTCAGTTGGAGTAAAAAAAAATCATACACCTCACTTCTTCTGTTGAAAATATGATTAAATTAAAACTGTCTCGGCTACAGGATGTGGATTAACACACACATGACAGATGGCATCTCAGGTTGCCAAGACAACTAAACCCTAAATCCTCCTTCATCTTGTACCCCCACACTTCTGCCCCTTCCCTTTGGCGGTGGGGTGGATAATTCAGCAGAGCACCATGTGCTGTGCAACACTCAAATTGGTCCCCTGGGTCAAGAGGACCTGAGGCCCGTCAGATGGGGACACACTTATTAGAGACTCACAAGTGTTTTATCATTCTGTCAGATTAGAGTGGATCTCATTTTGAGGGAGAAAGAGATGTCTGGATGAAACTTGTTCTCTGTGTGATGCACACTTTCATTACTGTTACTTTTTTTGTTGTTGTTTAGATGTCTTCATGCTGACTTTATTCAAACCAAGTTTAGGTTAAAAAATACCTTAATAACCAATAAAGTAAAAAGAGTCATGAATAGATGCAGGATGGTCATCATTCCATGGGAGGATTATAAAACAATACAATTCTTATTTTTGTAAAACCTATCACCAGCTGTTCCTCTAAACATAAAGTGTGTATTTTTTTTAATGAGACAAAGCAAGAAACATTTGCATGTTAATCTAGCAGCCATAATGTAACATAGTTTTTCCAACACCACAGTCCAACAAAGGTTTATGCTGTTCATGATGATGTAATTACATCCTGATGTCCTCTTCGGGGCTTTTAGGAACACCTGTGTGGGCTTCTTCATGTTTTTTCTAATCAGTTTCTCTTTCGTCTTTCATGTCTGTCAGTGCCATTCAAATCACAAGCCTCAATCCTAGGTTTTGTTTTGTGTTTGCTACTGACTTATATAGATAATCTTATATTTGGGTATACAAACCTGTCTTGTCACCTCTTTTAGTCCCGCAGTGAATCGGCCTGTGACATATGGGGGCTCGTCCGGGATTTAAACCTGGGATTTTAATGCCAACCATAGCTTGCCATTGACAGTATGTAGTTTTTTTATTGTATGTTTTATAGTACTTATGTAAATCAGTATATTTTTAGGTTGTTCTGTTTTTATAGGATTTTTTAAAATCATTTTTGATGACGCGCTTTGAGTTTAGTTCTCAAATTTGATATAAAACTTAATGAAAATAACAACAGTTTCTTGTTGTATCAGGAACTGTCTGCAAATTGATTCTTGTAAAACTACCACCTCTAGCTGTGTTTCCATCAATGTTTTTGTGCACATTTTGAAATATGGCATTAGAAAAGCTGGATGGAAATGTCAAAATTTGCAAAAATATCTTCAGTTTCGCAAAAGACAAAAGTTTTTACACTCGTTTGAGGTGTTTTTTTGATTTTCCAAAAAAGATTTAATGCGCAAAAGGGGAGATGGAAACACATTTGTCGAAGTTCTGACGTAGTGAACATTTATCTCGATCAGCTGTTCCTGTGGTCCAATAGTTGTACCAGCTGCAGCTGGACCCTCCTTACACTGTCAACGTCTTCCCGGATATTCCCGTAAYGTGAAGAGAATTATATYTCTTTTTCWACGTCTCCAGACAGCATGTAACACACCAGTACTAGTTGATATGACAGAATAATTACAACTTTCCCAATAGTAGCAACACRTTCCTGGTAACTTCTCTCCCATTGTCCTGAGATGTGTAGTTCCTGCTGCGAGTTTACTTCCTGTTTACCAGCCATGCATAAATAATTACACTTTACGTAGCCTGGTTGATTCAATCCAAGCTAGTTGATGGAAACACATCTGATTTGCATTTTCTTTTCTTTTCTTTTTTTGACTTTTTAAAAATTTGCTCAAAACTTGCATYAACAGCTCCTGACTTGACTCAAAACATCCCGTGTTAGACTACCAAAAATTCAGTTTAATCTGTTTTTACTCATTTCAGTATCCAATAATGAAAATGTGGATTTCGTAGATTAATTTGTTCTGTTTTATTCTGAGAACAAGAGCCAATGATCTGGGGGCTGCTTTGTTGTGTTTTATGCACTTTTTACCATGACTAAGGTTCAGTCTGAACAACTAAAAAGTTTTTCTTGAAATTCTGTATTAGTAAGTTATGAATCTTTTTATTTTACGTTGACCTGCTCTGGGTCACCAGGTGGCTGGAGGCTTTTMCCCAGCAGTTATATTCTAATGTTCCCTTTCTCATCTAAGAGTAATTTACTGTGATTGTAATAATGTCATTACACTGTCCCAAAAGTAATCMTTCCAAAGCATGAAACCTGTCACACAGTCACAGCCTGTCGGTGGGTGTGTGGTGCTGAGGTGCTCATATAACTGAATAATAAATAATCTGTCCGTCGGCCCCGGTCATGAAAAATGAATTCTGGTTACCTCGACTCAGACTGGCAGGCCAGGCAGTCAGTAGCTGCAGGGCAGACCTTTACTTTAATTAAACTACCCGTCACACCGAGTGCCAAAACCTGGAGCCCRTCTGGAAATTACTCCACTTCACCTTTCAGTTTACTGCAGGAAAGAAAGGAAGACAAACAGCCACATTTTCAATGATGTGTGCCTGTATTTGCAGGTCTGTTYAAAAAGCAACGCTTTGAAGGAAAGTCAGACTCGGCCACCAGAGGGCAGCATAGTGGCTTAATCCCAAAACTGAGATGCAAGCCTGAAAAAGAAAAAGGGGAGCCACGTTTACTTTGAATGAAGAGCA